TAAAGAAAAACTGTCCGTTCAGATTAATAGTGTCATAGGTTTGACACTACTCTGTATAACTTGGCGACTTTCGTGCACAAGATTATAGTTTAAAAGCCTCCCAGTGCCTGAAGGTCGTCGTGTGACAACGGTTTCGAACTAGTGAAAAAATTGTCACAGATTCACATTGATAATGAATTTAAATTATCTCGTTAGATGTTGTCTCGCTATTCACTAACGTCCCTATTGATTAGGCTCTTGAAAGTATTTCCTCTACATGGGAATTTATTCAAAGAATTGTGACTTATCAAAATCAGAATTTTAAATGGAATAGGCTTAGTTTTAAATTCTACCTTTTTTATTTTTAATAACGTTATCTACCGCCAAACCTTTGGAACGCCCATGGGTTCTCCTCTCTCATCAGTGATTGCAGATCTAGTTTTACAAGATCTTGAGAATAAATCATTACAATTGTTAAAATTCACACCCCCGATTTACTTTAGATATGTTGACGACATTGTATTGACTGTTCCATTGACTTTAATTGACCACACACTTATGATTTTTAATTCTTATCATAATAGACTCCAATTCACTCTGGAAACTGACGATAATAATAAAATAAACTTTTTAGATTTGACATTAATTTTAGAAAACAACAAGATAATTACTGATTGGTATCACAAGCCGACATTCTCGGGGAGATATTTACATTTCTTGTCTCAGCATCCATTTTGTCAAAAGCGGGGAACTATATACGGTCTAGTGGATAGAACAATTTTATTGTCACATCCACGATTTCATTATAAGAATCTCGTTACCGTTGTCAACATACTTTTAGAGAACTGTTATCCGCTTGTGTGTGACTTGATCTTTAATATTAACCAACGTCTAGTAATTTTATTTAAAAAATTAAAAAATACCACAATTAATAATAATAATAGTAAAAAAACGTCTTTTTTAAAAGACATTTTTTCACTATACCGTTTTTACCCGGTTTGACGGAACAATTTAGAAATATTATTAGGAACATGAATTTTAAATTATTTTTTTTTAATTTTAATAAATTAAATAAATATATACGAGTACATAAAGATACTATTTCTAAAATGAATAATACCAACATAGTTAAATGTTTCACATTATATCATGTCACATTTTAAGATCAGAAATTAAGTTTCTATATAAAAAGTTGTGTTTTAGCACTTGATAAGGGCCGAAACCCATGGCCGAAACGTCGTAAATATTAAATAAAGATTATTAAATAGCCAGAGTTGGTTGATTAAATTACTACCATTTTTAATTATCATCTGGTGACTTCAGAGATTTTTACATCTTGAATAATACCAACGTTGTTTACAAAATTAATTGTTCAAACTGCGACGCTTCTTACGTGGGCCAGACTAATAGAAGACTGACCACAATAATTTCTGAACATAAGAAACACATAGTTAGAAATATTAATACTAAATCAGTAATAACGGACCACCGCGTTAATTTTAATCATGAATTTGATTGGAAGAACATTAATATTTTAGATAAAGAAATATATTACGGAAAAAGATCAGTATCAGAAATGATATACATAAAAAGACAAAATAATAGTCTCAATCTACAGACTAATACTGAAAATCTATCTGATATTTATATCGAAGCTATAGAGAGACTACCTAAATTCTAAGATTAAATAACAAATACAAAATGATTATAATTGTTTGTAATTTTTCGTTTCCAACTGAGCTTCAGTTTCCTCTGAGCCGTTCTACTGACATGAGGATTACACTAGCGTCACTTTTGTTACTGTTACAATTAAAATATTGTCACATCATAAATATATGTAAGTTTTTATTAGCATTTTTTTATACCATGTGTTAGATTATTGTTTTATAACGCACTTGATTTTGGATATTATAATTAGTGAGGTGTAATGAGAAAATTATTTTGATTTATAGGATGCGATTAATATTTTATATTTTAACACCTGCCAACCTCGTTTTAGTCAGAAAACTAGAGAAGATCGCTTCTCACAGTAACGTAAATGTGATGGCTCAGTGAGAGTCATATTAATGTTAATCTTACGACGTTTTATTTCGTTTACTGATGTAACCGCGTTTAAATATGTTTATTAGACGTTTATACGTTAAAAATATTTAGACTTTGGTGATTTTAATTTTGCTTTTTGTACTGCGCTGAAGAAGATCCGAAAAATTGGATCAAAACGTTCGTTTACTCATTTGTTTTAACTTTCGAGTTTATTTTTATAATTTTAGATTAATTTAAATTTTATTCCCAGATAACACACAATATTGCATGAATATTCTATGTAGCATCAAAAATTTTTTTGAGAATATTCTCAAAGAAATCATCTATACATCTCTATAGAATATCCTTGTTTATAAAGAATAATCTATAAATCTACCTAGAACATGTTAAAATCAGCTATAAGAATATATTGTTTATATTCCATAAATGTTCACAGAATATTCAAATGTATTTAAGATGTAGATGGCGTTCAGAAATTACAGAAGAAGGAGCAATTATTCATTATCTCTTTTCCGCTTTTATTATTAAGTACATAC